TAATGGCCCGTCATGAGTGACTGTAGGAAATATAAGTTTGGATAAACTTGACTTTTTTTTAATCATCCTATTTTATCTGTGCATATTTGATCTTACAATGATTCAGATTGTATCAATGCTTTTTACCTTTTGCAAAGTCATCACTTTTTTCGGTATTTCTGTTTTGTGCATGTACCTGTACCTTACTGAGAAAAGCATCTCCTTTTTCGAAAGAGTTCCACCCTTATACACCATTGAAACGAATTTTATGAACAGAAACACAAGAAGATCTTTCTTTGTCTATTTGTAGGTGTCGTCTTTCTCTCTGAAGGACAAAATAACATGGCTGGTACATGAACCAATCAGAGCGAAAAGAAATCCACACCCCGTTCGTTCACTATTTACCCCTATGTATAACATGTCTTAGATGTAATCTTTTATAGAATGTTTTTCATTGTGCGACGACAAACTGTTAATCATATGTTGTGACTCTGGGATGGGTTTTTTCCCGTAAATTGTATTACCAGAAAGTATGGACATCTTATATCAGGTGCGTTTCATTTTTAAGGTGCAGCATCGTGTTGTGTTGTTGAATGGATCTGATGGTGGTTTGTTAAGTAGGTAATGATAAAATTCTACGAAAATATGATATGAATTTATGCTGGGAAATGTTCACATAGAAAATGCTTTCATATTCACAAATTAAAAAAAAGAGTGTACCAGATCTAGAGCGAGCAACAATTTAAATTTCAAAGACGAATATGTTTTATCACAAATCTTAATTATGTATACATTAAATTTAATTATATTTATTTAAATCAAAGGACGAAACATTTGTACACGTCCCATGTAAACACGTATTAGACTTGTATACAGCGTACGTCTTGTCGAATATATATATATAAGGTAGATAAAGGTAAGATACAAATATGGTCACAATTTAATGTAAACACAGTCGTTAAGATCTACATACAGGAAAATATCTACAGAATTCAAGGAATGCGGTATAAACTAGGCCAAGCTGAGAAATAAAGTAGGGTGATTTTGTCCTTATACGGATTTCTCATATATAGTGGGTTGAGTGGTTATAGTGGTACGTCAAGATGCCGATTTCCGGCTGTTGTGTATCAGCGGGAAGTCAATGGTCCGACGTACGGCTGTCCCCTGAAAATAGGGACATAGCACGTGAGGGACAATGCATAGATGAAAGATCAGGATGAGTGTGTATTCTTACATCATCCGTCAATATACACAACGGACGGTAAACATTTCCTCTCACAATAAACACCAAGAGTCAATAATCTAGATCAATTCGGTAATAATATATCCTGAACAACGTGCATGCAACAATGGGTTTTATTATTTCTTTTCCTAATTTTTATTTGTGTATTTGACTAAAAAAAAGTTGTCGGGTATGTCGGTTTGACAGAGACTTAGATACAATGGGCGGTTTTACCGTGTGTGTTGAGTGTATGTGTGTGAGGGTATAGAGTGTCGATATAGTCTAGTATGATACAGTTTATGGACAGGCGGGCGTGTATAGGGAAGCGTCGCCAACCCGGAGTCATCGAAGTCAACGTCAGGCAGTACAGTTGATGCTGAGGCTGAGAAAAGGCACGCGCCATGGTAAGTGTAGTGACATTTGACCCTTACAAATCTTAAGGTACAGATATATATATATATAACCTTATGACGTGTGTGTGTTTTCTGAGGTGTGAGCAGTCGGCCAAACATATTTGGGAGGTTTAATGACACACATTATAGACACAGATGTAGTATTCTGTGTAGATCAGGGGGGCAGACTATACGCAATATGTCTTTAATCACATTTTATATTGCAAAAATTTGTGTTATTTCCAGATAAAAGATTATTTTCGAGTGGTGGAAATTAGGCACTTCTAACTCGTTAAGCTTGTAAGAATGTGAGTTTAATACAAAACAAGAGCGGGGGAGAGAGTCTCCTTGCCTTGGAATCTGTCGGTGCGTGCCAACACGTGCTTGATGCGCATACCGTAGTAACCCTAACGATCTTACTATCTGCAACACTTTTTTCACCTTTGGTCTCGTGTTGAGCCGACAACTTCACATCGAACTATACTCCAAATGTTTGTTTGTTTTGCCCACGTAGATGTCTGTCTTTAACATATCTCCTACTGATTTCGGTAATCTAGCTGGTTCTTAGCTTTTAGGCATAGTAGCGCGAGATTAAGTAAAACGCACGCCATTAGTGTGTTCGTTTACATTGTGCACGTATACATGTGAAACACGCAATTTGTACATGTATCTGCGCGCATGGTTTCGATATCCATTAATTCTTGATGAAACAAATGATGAACAAATGTGTCAATACAAAAATATGTGCATCAGTTATGAGGGAGATAACTATGCTGTATAGACCATTCAGCGTTGTATTAACCGTAACATGTGTTTATAGGTGTATCATTATGACAGAGGAGTTTCTTGATGTGCTTACATAATCATCTCTCTGCAGTGGAATAGCGTTACCAGACGAGACACGTTTGTTTACCTCTATTACTTACATACATCACGGAAATATTGTTCTCACTTACTCATGTATTTGTTATTTCTACAAGAATTCCAGCAACATTCCCCAAACACTTATACACACACATACAATATCCTCATACTTTCGGTTTAGATATATACAGTTTGTAAAAAGTGAAATTTGTTTAGTATTCAATACACGTAGTTTGGCTATATCTAGAATGTTCTCATCAATGTGTGTTAAATATTCTCGGTAAATGCCCAGATGCCGGACACACGAGGTGTTAGTGTAAGATATGTGTAAGTAAAACAGGTTGAAGTAGGTAAATAAACATATGCCTAAATAGTCATTTGATATGCCGCCATTCAAAGTTAATAAGTCAAATCTTACTTGACTTTAAAATGTTTAAATTTAACACAGATTTAACTAAACCATCGAAAACACAGAAAACTGAGCCGATTAAAAGGGTTGGACGCTTAGAAAGGACCGTTCCCCCCTTTCCCTCCAATGAATAACATTGTTTATTGTTTTAAATGATTCGCATGGTTCAAAACGTGAATTCCTACCACTAGAAATCTCCCTGTTTAATTATTCCATAAAAAAACACCTTTCTTTGAACGCGATCTGTATTGACAGTATGTACGGTTGCATTAAATAATTCTACGGTTAATAAACTAACCATTTTTATAATAAATCGCCTCTCTCGATCAAAGGATCCACCTGGAGTGTGTTTGGACCGATCCTGATCAATGATCCACACCAGGATATGATCAGATGTAGTGGTTCTACAAATTCAACTCGCATTATACAATGTACGCCAGAAAACAATATTTACATACTCGATTACCATAGAGTTGCCAATCTCCTTTCCCCGATCAATCAGCAAATATTCAAATATATTCAACTGAATTTTCCGGGCAGCCAATCGTTTCAAGTAAGTCGGCTCTGCTTCAGACTATAGCCCTCGAGGTTGGCCGTAGCTACCACGTGCTGGGATTGATTCTGGCACTACTTTCGTTAAAAGATAAATTATCTAGTGTATCCGAAAGTTGTAACTCTGTAATGTTGTAAAGGGCTGTAAGTGCACTCTTTCCCGATATGCTATTTCTACATATGTTTCGGGGCACGTTAGAAATGCGTTTTCATTCTTTTAGCATTTAGTACTACTGATTGATGAGTCCTTAAGGGACAAAATGACCAGATGTGCAGAAAATGGTTGCTTTGATTTGGCTTCCTGCATCGACTGACCATCTTTTGAAAAAGGTGTTTCCGTACTTTTAAGTGAGCATTTCAAACGCTTGAATTAACAAGACGTCGTAGAAATATTCTTACATGTGCTAATGTCTTGAGATTTTCAGAATCAATCCGGAACTGTGGGCACTTTCGAAAAGTGCCGATGGTTCCCGATTGTTTGAGAAAGTGAGGAAATCGGAAAATATATATTCAAACATCTGTATAAATAGGATAATTAAATCTCTGTCGCCATTTGTATCGTATGATATAAACGTCATACTGTTGCAACTGATAATGTCGTAACAATGTCTGAAATGAGAGCATTATCACGTGATATTGGATTTAAACAGTGACGTAATCCAGGCGAGTTCCGTACCTGTAAACGTGTACTCTGGAGTGAAATTAGTAAAAAAATAATAATAATAACTGGAATGTATCCAAACCGCTGCTTTCAAAGTTCAGTAACATTGCTAAGATATCGGTATCAATAATTTGTTGAGGGATCTAGTCTACCTCGAGATTCGAGTACAGTACGATTACTTAAATGTGATCAACACTTCAACACTCGTATGTTTTTGCCATCAGTCAAGCCTGGATGGGGATATTTTGATCGATCCTAACATTCGTCGCCGTCGTAGAATACTAATGTAGTCTTAGAACCCGACCTCATGTTATCAAAGGGCAATTTCCTATGAGCATATATTTCTGCCGATTTCGTGGCGCAATGGAAACCACGGAAAATTCATTCTATGTCAAGTTTTGAAACAAAAAAGACACACTATTTAGTTTGTACCTATACAAAATTAATCGATATTCTGAATGTGACACTTCACATTTTTTATTATCTATTAAAGAACCGGCAATTATTCAATTTGAATGTCTGACATTCAGGGTACGAATCGATTAATAAAAAAACCCAGATCGAAACAAGCGAAACGAAATTTGCAGGTTCAAACTATGTTTTGATTCTTTTTATTTGATTTTGATTTTATGTCCTGGTTTTGTTTTTTGTTTTTATTACCCATGTGACCTAACGCGCACCATAGAACATATATTATGTTTGTTCCTATACCCCATCAAAATGAAAAACAATCCTTATGTGTACATATCGGTCTATAAGTCAATGCCAACTGTATAGCGACCTGTTTTAGATCCTGTATAATATATACATAGATCTATGGATTGAAATCAGTGTTTTCAAAAAAACAAAATATTCTGTTTCATCAAAGTAAGAATTTATTACGATTTTCATGTGTTTAATTTGTATGTTTTTATTTTGCAGGCTAGTCTCGACGACATCACACCGGAACGGTTGGCTGGTAAGAATAATGTTTTGCATTAAACATGTATATATGTGTATGCATGTATTTTTTTTATATTTTTTTTAACAATACACCGTAAAAATATAATCATATATCTTAAAAGAAAGATTATGTTGTACTGTATCAAAAAAATATGAGATAACGGACGAAATACATTACATACAATCATTATGAGAAGTTTTTCCCAAAGGGACCGGATTTTATATGATGATGTGCATATGATGTTGACTGGTCTGTGTTGTTGATGCCAACTATATTCCTAGTAAAGCCTAACGTCAACTAAATGTTTGTTTCCTGTAATGATCTCGTGTTTTGCAATGCGGAATGAGAAGCTCAAAATGACACTGATCTCAATGCATTCATAGTCCTATGAAAATAAGAGTAAAATACTGTAAATTAGACAATCTATTTGAGAGTCTGTTCTCAACATCAGAAACTGGAAACGAAATTAGGTGGAACAGATTACAGTTTAGATATAAATCATCGTTTCAGAATTCAAAATAATTCACCACAGGTTATTGTAAATTTTACACCTTTAATTTAAACGCAGGTTATAGGCATTCATCTTTGTCAATACATAAAAGTGCAAAACGTTGACAATAAAACGATCGATTATTTACTGATCAAACACACGCTGTAACATTGACAAAAAAGTGTATTGACTAAAAACAACGTGATTGTAGTTGACTGTATCGGAGAGAGAACAGACGTACATATTGTCCCGTGTGTTCGTTATTGATGGTTCGAATATTTTTTTTTATATAGAAGCAGTCAGTCAGTGTTGGTATTCAATCTTAATTAAACGATTTGAGTGTCGACGCTTTGTTGTCAACGAGTTAAATAATCAGCATGCTTCGTAACGGTGTATGCAGAAGGTCTGATCTTCCGTCCATGTCTACCCATCCTCGAAATCAAGGGGTTACGCTTACTTTCGCTTCGTGAGTGCAACTCCTGGAAATCGTGGATGATGTCTTCCCCACGTACTCTGTACATGGATTGCTATGGACAGTTGGTAGGGTATCAGTCAAGGGGATTTATATATTCTCGACCATGTGTTTCTAAAGGAGTTCCACTAGCAAACTTATTCAGAGGAATACTGCTACATGTACATGTACCATCAGCGGAGGCTCTCAGTTCGAAAATTCTGCGACATTTTGTATTTCTTTCAAGAAGGCGAATTCTGTCTTTGTCAGCGAACCCAATGCAAATTGTCTTGTTGCCAAGATCAATGTAACGACCCTGCATTATACTACTAAGATAGACTTTGTCAGTGAAATCATCGCAAACTTAATTTCTTGTTACATGTTCATACTTTGTCATTGCGTAGAAATAAATGGCCATGTACCCTATTACATGTAGTTTGTCTTCGTCGGCAAACTCGGAGCTAATTTCCGTCTTATACTGTTGAAGGTTAAATCGAAATGCTTTATCTGCTCAGATTAAACGTTATCATCGTCGCCTTTTCTGTATTCAACAAACGCATCCGTATTTTTTGTTTATTTTGTTAAACGTCCTATCAACAGCCAAGGTCATCCAAGGGTGTGCCGCCATGCCTGTAATGCACGCGAGTTTGTGTATGTGTGTGTGCTGAAAGCGGTATATTAGTGCTTTTGCTTCCTTGCAATAGAACAGAGCTGATGCCGATTGTATAGTGCTACCTCACTGAAATACCCTACCGAAGGCACCTAGCCCAGCCCTCCATCCGGTCGCTTTTTACAGCTGAGCGTTAAGCAGGAAGTAACAAATACCATTTCTATAAGAACTTCGGTGTGTCCCTGCATGGGAATAACACACCTTGCCTTCCGCACTTGGACGTACGTTTAACCCAGGTTTTGCCTACAATTATCACTGGAATTCGGTGACGTGTAAGCACTGTATCTTTTTGCTTTACATGGGTAGATGCATGTCCTAACATTGATGTTTCATGTAGATATACACACGTACGTTGGATTTTCATGTCATTTTAATTTATTAGATTTTTAATATTTAATTAAAAATATCAGCATGCTTCTTATATCTAATTTTTCTCATACAGAGAAGCTATTTTAAATGCCATTAGATCAAAGCTTACATGTATCTGTAAAATATCAAGACATGTCTATAGCGATGCATTAAAGAATTGATCAAAAGTTTTCGTTTCTGAAAGCTCAAAAAATGTCTTTCTGAACGGCGGGATGCAAAGTTAATGTGTGGGAATCGACATAGTGTCGATATCAAACTGTGATTGAAATCGAATAATAAAACAGTACGCTACAAATAAATAATATACATGGAAACATCGAATCAGATAGTATGAAAGTTTCATATAGTGTCCGCATTTTAATTCCAAACCAATAAACAAAACTCTGACAGAGATGCGTATATATGTCTGACGAATTCGCTTCCATGCCCATTACTGACGCCAATGTTTACGTTTGACCTGGAGCAAAGATGTCGATAATGAATAAATAAACTAAAGATGACCCCTCACGGTGGATATATATATACATATACACCATGTAAGCTATGTACAATGTACATACATAACGTATCCTAAACCAGAGAAACGCCTTGTCGTAACACCATTCATTACGTTCTATGGTAACAGCATGAAATACACTCTTTTATGAGTTAAAACCTCCATGTGCCACAACTTCTTATTAAACGTTTTTTTTATCATTTCAAAACGACCTAAATCCTCTGTTTCATATTTTCAATATATTTTATACATGTTGAAGCTTATGTACAGATTTTTTCTAGAAAGAATTTTAAGTGCATTACAACATTCGTCGTTGAACGAAGACGATATAGTTAAACAATCGGGACAGTACATTCTGATAGAGGTAAAATGTCAGAGATATCGCTTAGAAATGTGACAGTAGCCAAAACACTTTGATATTAAGACACTTTTTGAATGCTATCTAAATCTTTGTCATTATGAACAGATGCTGCTCATCCTTTTGAAACAACTGCTTTCATCTTCGAATCAAAAGGTTCCCTGCGTTCGATATATCTATCTTTTCCATACACCTGTTGCCAGAGCGGGACCCCTGGATTCTAAGATATCTGGTTTTATTTTCCCTTGTACTACATGTACTTTTGTTCATACTTTGCCCCATGGTTCATCGATTTCGTGTTCAAATCACGCTTTAGTTCATAATTCGATGATCTTATGTTCATACACGTATTGCAATATTGTTGAGTTAGATAATCGAATAAAATAGTTCTTACTTTTTATCGTAGTTAAGTTGTACTGGCTTTTTCTCTCTGCAGATTATAAAGAGACATTTGATCTGTTTGACGTGAACAAGGATGGGAAGATCACTCGGGAAGAACTGAAGAATGTTATGACCAAATTACGTCAAGATCCCACGGACGACGAAATTAGGGATATGATAAACGAGATCGACCTGGATGGTAATTAAAAAAAAAAATACTTTTATTTATTTACTGTTTTTTACAAAAAATGTTTAATGTCAGCGGAGTCATTCAGCTGACCTATTTCGATTAACATTTTCCCGTCGTCGCCCGCCGTGCGTCGTGCGTCTTCTGTAAACAAATATATTATTGACTTCTCCTCAGAAACCGTCTGCCAAATTTTGATGAAACTTTGGGTAATCATCAGCATGTGGTGGCGATTGCAATATATGTTTCGGACTCCCTTTCGGGTCAAGGGAGGGACAATAAGGGGCTTTTTCAAACTATTTGGAAGAGCATTGCAATGATTCACTGTACATGGAAGAAATACTTTTTTTTTTAAACATTAGTTAGGCGATGATTGGATTGGACGAAAACTATTTTCACCTCTGGTATTATACTTGTAAATGTCGGTAGTGGAACTAAATGATTGTATTCGGCAAACGCCTTTCTCAAGAGATTACCAGCCATTTCCCTGATAGAGTTTCTCTTAACTTGCAAGTTTGTTTACCCAGGTTAAAAGTCTACCAATTAATAAGACGAGCACAAAACAGTTTTAAACATTTTTAAAAGTGTGTTGTAATCAATATATTCATACTAAACACCTCAATATTTATACCTGTTGTTTTGTTGAAATCATTTGAGACGTGTAAGATTTTTCTGTTGTACATTGTTCGCATAGAATATATCAATTTACGGCTATAGACACAGAATACAATCTGCGAAACCGTTTGATTGACTACTGTATGAATAGCATGAAGGGATACAAGTATTTTTATGACATATTTTATACAAAAAAAGTCTTCTAGAAATATGTTCACAGACAAACTGACGATAAACACATAACGGCTAAATTATAATATTAAACGTGCTGTACGTGTTTTTAACGTCTTAGAGACTTTAGTAAACAAAACAACAAACCACAAAGAAACAAATACAAATTAAAGTTACTAAAGGGATAATGCTTACATAACAGCCATATACCTAAAACGACAACATCACAACACACTAAAACACGTCAAATCTGTTACAACTTTACAAGTCAAGTCCAGTCAAGACAATTTTGTTTATGATAGTGTCATATATCACAATTACATCGTACACGTATATAGTTACACAGTATAAACACATATAGTTACATAACAGGAATCAATCATCTAAATGTAAAAATATATAGACCATATCATCATTTTGTTATGAACAGCTATAATACGTAATATATATTAATAAATTAAAATAAAATATTACATGTTCCAATCCAGAGAGCAGAGCGTTTACATGTATGATTGGACAAACCCTTTCCCACACCCATTTATCGACGTTTGTGCCCCAAACCCACAAACACAATTACAAAAATCGTGCACCTGTCCAAATGTAAGTACATTATAGTATTGAGTTTTAGGAAAATGGGAACCAGAGAAAACAGTAGTCTCCCTTTGGCTATCTGTAGCTATCTACCGCTTGGCGCAATATATACGTGTACTATGCATTTCAAGACAGACCATTTTGACTTACATTTCAATCAATCTTTTGTTGACAGAAAATGGAACGATAGACTTTACTGAATTTTTAAACATGATGCATAACAGTTCTAAAGAGGATGCAGAGGAGGAGTTTCGAGAGGCGTTCCGAATGTTCGACAAAAACAACGACGGGATGATAGACGAACAAGAACTACGAGATGTAATGACAGCCCTTGGAGAAAAACTGACGGACGCACAGATAAAAGAAATGATTGTAGAAGCTGATCTGAATGGGGACGGTCTCATAAACTACCACGGTAAGGGGGTGAATCAGGGGGAGGGAAGGGGGCGGGGGCGGCGGGAAATGTCTCCCAGGGTTCCTTGCGCCCTGCTTCATTCATCTCTTTAAACGACCCACAGGCTACATTAATATCATTTGACCTCGAGATCATAGTCATTTTTATCGTCCACGTTCACTATCCCGCCTCAGACGGAAACGCTACGCAAATGCTATACGGAAACTGTACGGATGACGCGTGCTAAAGGGACAATTTAGTGAAGTAAGTGTTTTTGATTACCGGAAAATCAAGTCGATACTGAAAAACTATATCTCCTAACGAAACTTTACGTAGTTGATAATGACCCGACATGAAGCCAACGTCCAGTGTGGTCAGTTTCATCTTTTGGGGAGGACAGTGTCAGTTATGTGTCTGAGTTCACACATAACACGTTCTTTAATTTACACAATACATCGCAAGTAAGAATTATAAATATCATAATATATACCTTTAATCATATATTTCTGTTCACATTCGGATTTGAATAAAAACGAACAGGTTCAATTAGAGCATTCACGCACTGAGAGTGTGTCTCAGGGAGAATTTCAAACCGCAGAAAGGACAATATCAATAGATCACTCGATCATTTATAACGATGTTTGAGCTTAAGATGATGATGGAAGATGATTTTGATTTAGAATAAATGCATGTACTTGTATAACAGAGAGGCTAGGTGAATAAAGCGAGATGTTACCTTCTCTCCTCGGCTGAAATTCACCGACAGCTGACGCTAAATTGTAAGGCTGTACAGTTAAGGATTTCTCCATTACGGATTAAAAACGCCAAGAAAACATTGTCTCTTGTCAATTTCTCGCCATGAATTGTTCAAAGGGAGTATCAAAATATATTATCATGGAGAGTTTTGTGACAAAGATATTAAAAACCCTACTTCACTAAATTGTCCCTTTAAGATTGGTTCGTTTGAGGAAAGGATACTATTTTGTAAATTACAAAATCCATGTCAAATCTTAAACAAAACATAAATAGCCACACAACACAGTAGTACAAATCTTGTACGTTTCAAACAGTGCCGAAAGTATCACAGCTACAAATACACGGTTAACTGTTGGAAAACGATGTTTATAAACTACATGTAATAATTATATGACAGATACTCTTTATGAGTTGTTCAACTCCACGAATTCCATTGTGTTTCTGAACCTCCCTGTCGTTGTGAATTTAGGCTTATAATATATCACCATATCACGAAGAAAACAACATGGAAAACAAAAACACAAAGCAAATGTTTGATATACATACTGCGCGTGATCGTTTGCTCATATCTATTTCAACAAAAGTCATCCGATTATAACAATGTGATGAAAACAACCATATTTATGACATACAGATGAAATCAAAACATTGTTAATTTTAATGTGCGAAAAGGTTAAATGATTAGTGTATCACACACCACGTGCAAGAATTTCGAAATGCCGTGTGGCGTTTACAGAGTAGTCTCGTTCAAACAGACGCTTGATCACTTGTGACTGCATGCGTAGCTTGCGCAGACAACAAGAGTCCGGTTGAACGAGACTATTACAGAGGTGAATGGACGGGCCGCAATACATTCTGGGGGAGATTGAACGGCGGGCCTGTTCACTACATGGCAGGGAGGCGGTGTTTGGACGCAATCGGAAGAACAGTATTACGGGATCTTATGATTTCAGGTAGAATGACATAAAAGGTGAAAGAAGAATGCGTCGGGAATCAATATTTGACGGGAGTTGCTTCCCTTTACTCCATCAACACTACACTTTAATGGTATTGAAGTATCCATGTTTCCCCAGTATTAATGCGGGAAGGATTTTTGAGTACCAAACATAGATAAATTTAACACAGAGGGCACCACTCAAAGTGAAGTTTTCTATATGTATTTCCGTTAATATTATATGACTATTATGTTTTTTTGCAAATCTAGGCGCAAAAAATAAAATGTCAATGTTATCATTTTGTTTAGTTACTCGACCGACCGATCAGAACGGTAAATACGTGGAATGTTCTGAATATAATTCCGAAGTGCAATGTTTCCGGAGCCTTTTTTGCGATTTTTGTATAATGTAAAATTGTGTGCTATTTCATCCAGGAATAACCTTTAAACTAAACTACATAACATATTTATACATAGATTATTGACAGGCACATAATATAAGAGAAATCAAATAAAAATATGAGTTGTCTCCCTTACCATGTTTTTTTCTTGTTTATTTTAGAATTTAAAATGGTGATGACATCGAAATGACAATGGATCGAGGAGTAACAATAAGACTTTATTAAGGCGTCCTTTCACGGAATAGGTAACCAGCGATTTTCCAGGCGGTATCCACGTCTCCATGAGTTTGACTTGTGAGAACTGGCCCAAAGTGACCTGCTTTTGGGCGGAAGTGACGTCGTGTTCTCGTTATAGGTGAAATTGCTACTGATAAATTCCTTTATTAGTTTTTCTGCCTTTTGGATATTATTTTACCAGGGGTAAATCGTCTATCAGACAACAAATTGTAAGCCTTTGTTTGTCACGCGATATAGTTTGTTAATGGATATTTTGGACATTTGACCATTGCGTACTCTTGTTTCCTTAATTCCTCTTGTGATATTCCGTGTTTAAGCAAGACACGTTATGATCTATTTATAGCACTCGGCACTTGCAATCTAACTACCTTTTTTCTCTCTTGCATTAACCGGTGCTTCAGTGTACCTCATGTGTTTATAAATCACGTGATCAATATTTTTTGTGTAAACCTCACTCATGATAACGAACAGGAAACTTTATGAATCTCGTTTACTTTTTCTCAACCATATGATGCTGAATCGTATAGCCCCTTCGTACAATATATCGGGATTGACCAAGTCTACGACATATTCTACGGGTACATGTTGAGGAGTTGTTTAAGACCGATGCGTTTTATGTCACCGCTGGTGTGGATGGCTAGGGGGAGGGGTGGGGGAGTTGTTACCGATGTAAGCACCTGTGATTCCCCCAACCCAACATATCATACGTCATTTTGCCACATGTTACTCATTTACATATTTATTTTCTTTGTCATCCTTATCATGTTTATATTACCGGATATTTTTATATAAATCCTTAATATTATTTTACATGTTAATCCTAAATACTGTCTTATCTTCATAAAATTCTTAATTACGAGTTTCACAGATCTATTAATTCGTATACTCCAATGCCTTATATAAACCCTAGAAAAGTTCCGAAGCATTGATTCGTCACATGTTCACTTTATTGTTTATACAGTATATTACCTGAGGTTTTTCTTCATATAAATCCTAATTGTTTTCCTATCTGTATAAACCTCATAAATATTAGTATCACCAGCTCGATCATTACCCCTGGAGAAGTTCCGAAGCCTAATTGAATTCGGCTTCTTACGCCCTTTTATATAACTTCCGAATTGTTCCGAATGTCCCCCATTCACCATATTCGTGTGGACCGTTATGGCAGCTGTTTATCATTATTCGCACATTTCCTTTTTTTATTTGTAATAATACTGAGCTAACAATTTTCAATAGTTTAGATCAAATTGGAAAGAGAAAACATTCGAATTAGTTCTGGTCGGAAACTCAGCACTAGGGTTAATATGTAGAAGTAAGTTCATCTTACGGCCTCATCATTCTAATATATATCTCGAATTGTGCTATTGTATGTATTATAAATTATGGGTGATTTGTACAAATGTGTATGAAGTTATCAATGCATACCCGAACAAGTGTAAGTGGTTATTTGATTAATACAGCCAAAGGAGATCCGAACGTCCGTGATTATTACATCTGTGTCCATAAATATATCAAAACTATATATATGTATCTTTGAGGTCATAGATATGTTTGATGCGTGGAGATCAAACCCTGTTACTTAGCCCTATCTCCAGGACCTCGAATTCAGTGGGTTTTTTTTTTTTTTTTATATATATGAATAAAACTATTTGTCCATTTATTATTGATTATGTTTTCCTTTACATAGGTACTAGTTCATATAGATTGCAGTATTTGGTGAGATATAACGCCAGCACAAAACATTGGGCGACCAGGAGTAATTTCTCCTTTTCCTCAAATTTTCTGTGTGCTGATTTGATACTCTTTATATATTTTCAAAAAATGTACATTTACAGTGCACGGGAGTGCACGTGTAACTTGTATTTAATTCGTTTCTATGGTACGTCTCAATTTCAAATAAACACAGATATTCGGAAAGATTCATGGAAACTAAAGATCACAATAAGTATGAAGAGTAAGTCAGGGTAAGAAACAAAGTTAAGAACTGAGTGAGTTAAGCTAAAAACCAACCCAATGGAATGTTCGAAATACGTAATTTCAAAAGGAAAACTAGAACAGGAATATCCTAACAACGTCTAAAAGACGATGACCAACTGGCTCATATTGTTTAAAGCAACAGTGAAAGGGCAACAGTAAGGACCCTCAATTTCTGCAGTTTTTTTTATAATAGACCTAAACTGAGACATACCTAAGCTCCCAAACAAGCATATCGAAAAACAATTTGTCAGTAAAGAAATTAGCGAAAAAGAAATTGCTAAATTAATCAAAAGCCTTAATACAAATAAATCACAAGATCCAGATAGCAGACACTTAAATATTAAATAAACTTGAAACTGTAATCACTCAACAAATCAAAATACTCGATATCGGAATCATACCCCACCCTACCCCTGTGTGTATATAACCTTATCATTATACAAATAGGGATAGAGTACAGGATTTTTTAAGAAGGAACATAAGTGCTAAGCTGGCAACTACAGATGAGCTATCACGGGCGAATGTTTGGAAACAATTTTAAGGAAAATGATAATTTATGGAACATCTTACGAACAAAATCTTTACAGTATTCGGCATTTTGAATTTGTGAAAGGGAGCGCCACATTGCCCCTTAAAACTAAACGAGAGCCATTGATTAAGGTTATGGTATCCAAGTATTTTACATGGACTTCATCATCGCCTTTGACACTATTCCGCACAGAAGTTTAATCAGCAAATTGAAAGTATACGGATTGGATTGTCAGTAGAGATACATGTAGTAGGATTGACAAAATATGTTTTTGACTAAAGACGACAGCAACACTGTTAATTTTCACACCTCTGAGTGGAAGAAAGTAACTAGCAGAATGCCACATGGCAGTGTTCTGGGTCTTCCATTGTTAAGTTGTGAAAATAAATGATCTGCAGATGGAGTTGATTCGAACTCCCCACTGATGTGCTGATGACACCGACAGGCAAAAGGAAGATATTCAGATTGACCTTTGAAATATACAACAATGGTTGGACAAAATGCTTACCGAAATTGCTAAACGATCTGGAAATAACTAAATTATAACTAATTACTACAGAAATCATATACAAGCCGCCGTAAACAAAGCAATCAGATGAGCATAAGCAAGTGTTACCAGTTCGTGACGTCACACAAAATGTACGTATACATGAACTCAGTCACATCCACCACTAACATTAATATATGCGAGACGTTGGCACAACACGACATTTTTTCGCTCCCTCCCCTCCCCCTCCCCCGCCCCACCATCCTCTACCTATCCCGACCCCACTTCCTTGTACCCTCCAGACAGCATTGTATCGGAGTTTCTATAAACGTCCGTATACATAAACTGCTCACGTACGAGGTCTCGTAGATTTTGACAGCTATGTACATTCTTTCCAATAAAGCAGCACCGATCACAAATATACAGACGCTGTGTTAAAGTCAATGGAAACAGCTGTACTGAAACCCTGTGTACCACCAACATATGGGCTTTCGTACAGCGACATATACTCGGGTCTTCCCCCCTGTACAACACAGTAGTGGATGTTTCTAACGTTTCTGGTGTTTCCAGAAAACGGATGACAGCGACAAGAATTTTTCGTTTTTCAGATGTTGTCTATGAGCCCATTGATGGTGCACGTACGTTCAGTTCGGGATTCCGAAACTGACGGTCAAACAAATCGAATCAAAATCTTGATACTTACAAACGTAACAACACAAATGAACACGTTACATGCCACAACTCTTTAGTGTTGTACCCGCTCTGGGACAGGGATTTTTCAAATATCCGTCAGCACAATTTTGCAGACAAAACCCTGCAATTTGATGTTAAAAAAGAAAGAATTTTCGTCAATAAATCAGAATAACGTATCATGGTTTATTTTTAAACGAAACGAAATTCTTACATTATCTTCAGAGCCGCTAATCAAATGTTACTTCAAATCCTTTTGATACCTGCTTTTGGTTTCCAAAATATCTATGACAAGTTTTATTAAGCAGATCATTAAATTCCTTTACTTTATCAGTTAAAAAATGTTTATATCAATACCATTTTGGAATTCCTAAGGATGAAGGTAACACCAACATGTGATACATCGTTAACGGGAACAGAATGCCAAACAATGAATTACACTGCATCAAACAGCTGTTCCGTCCTTCCGGGACTCACCGGTGATGCTATGGGGCTAAAACAATTGAGTTCTAAGATTCGAGGACGATTTGTGCCATGTGTTAATAATGATATTTGTCTTATCAATGCATAGTATTTAAAAAACAAATTGTTTTGTTTTAATGTTATTTACTTACACCGTAAGGACCTAAAAACAAACGTACTTGTAGGCTGCATAGACATATCATCAAAGGAAGTTCCGATGACTACGTCTGGGTGGTATACGTCTGGTGTGTCTCCTTCAGCTGTTCACGAAAACAGAGTTATCATCGATCGGCGTCGTTTAATATTGATATTTGTAGCAGGAAAGTTGCAACATGCTGACATGTTGATATATGTTCCAAAAAACCTGCCGAGTATTTACATATACTGTACAGAGCGGAGACATCCATCTCTTTGTGTTATGTCTGCGGGACCTATCATGATTACCTTCCGTGACCTAACATGTCGGGCTACCAGTTTTGTGGCATTTTTCTACTGTTACACAATGCATGTACGTAAGATTAATTTGATTTACATAAAGTGTCAGTAAGGAATCATACCCCACCCTACCCCTGTGTGTATATAACCTTATCATGTGTTTATCTTGTAATATTCCGTGGCAGCGTTTACCTGTATTTTACGTCTGCTGGATTCTCCATGTGAGAAATCTATCATCATTTCTTCGCGTGTTATAACAAATGCAGCAGTTTACATCTAATACATATGTTTATCGGGTAGCTAAGTACTTAAAGTGCTACAAGTTTGCCCTGGTTAAAAGTTAAAATTATTTCATATCAAACAGTTTATCATCATTATTATATAATGTATCAGTATTATATAATGTATCAGTATTATATAATGTATCAGTATTATATAATGTATCAGTATATTAACAGTATTTGTATGGAGGATTTCGTTGATGACGTAGAAGACGCTTCCCCTTCCGGAACACCTGAACATGTATTAATGAAACCGTTCTCATGCTCAATCATGGATTTTATGCTCGAGCAAAATTTCTTGTTCCGGTTATTAGATATTAAATAAATTATATTTGGTAAATAATTTGGAAAACAATCGAAAAGACGTAAAGTCAAATACTGTTAAAAATAAACTTTGTGATCCTTTGACATGATTTAAGTAAGTAACAAGAAAGCTGTCTTGAGCACAGCAGT